CAGACATATTGACAGGAGCTGTGTGATACAGAGCGAGACAGAGAGATTGAGGTTACAAAGACTTCAAGATGACTCGTGATGGCTAGCAGCTTTTTGGCCCTCATACGCTCTTCCGAACATACCCAGAACAGTTGAGCTTCAAGAGGAGTCAGACACTCATCTGACCTTAGGTTAGGTCTGTATGCTGGAGACATGTTGCTGCTTTCAGGTTTAAAAAAAAAACAGCAGAGAGAAATAACTACAGATATTGCAGGGAAGTCTCATAAGGGAAACATCACTATAGCGACTTTCCTACACTATATCCTGCACCACGAAAACATAAAACCATTAAAGTTAACTGCAATAAAAAAAAATCTTCAGGAAACTAATTTTACATTGGACATCAAGTAACAAAGTAAACATGAAATGCATTCATATTTTATCAGAAAGATAAAATGTATTGTAATTGAAAAACAAAAAGTTATTTCAATTTGTAATAATATCTCATTACAATTTTCACTGCATTTAAAAAAAAACTGCCTCAATGAGTATAAGTGACTTTTTTCAAAAACATGAACAAATTTTGCTGTCCCCAAACATTTAAACGGGAGAGTAAAATCACAATTATTCATTTTAAATTACAAAAAGCGTCCTAATTGTTGTCCATAAACCTTGTGCTACTGTATATCTCAAGTCATTTGAAGCCACATGAGAGCAAACAGAATTAAATTGCCCCATTATGCTTTTTCAAATATTTCCTTTCATGCAGTGTGTAATATACCTGTTTGTGAATGTAAAAGGTCAGCAAAGTGCACGATGTATAAACTTATTGTCTCCTAAAAGAATGCATCGATTCTGAACTGCCGAAACGAGTCATCAGATATTCCAGTCGCACTTCCTGTTACAAAACAACGCAGGTTTGACTGGGCTATCTGACCAATCAGACCAGAGTAGGCTCTCGGAAAGGAGAGGTTTAGAGACAGGGCTTGACATTAATATTTTTATTTCAGCAGTGGCGTGTAACGCAGTCACTCCTACTAGCCACTTTGGCGGGCTGAATTTTATATAGGCCTAATATACATTTTTCAATTGTAGTCTTTTAAAAAGGCATCTGAAATAATAAACTAAGTGCAATCTAGTGTTGTTAAAAATATAGATTTTTCGATACTGAAATATCTGAAACTCTTCCGCAGGATGCACCAGCAACGCGTTCTCCCTCTTTAATCTGTCCGACAGCGAGTTGACACCCTTTACAGTCTATGGTTGACAGACACACAAACCCGCGTCCCTTTACTCACTCGTTTAATTTGCTCCGGATGAATATTGTTGGTTACAGGGTGAGGGATTGCGCATATTGAGCATAATTGTACTCATTCCCGCAGATTTTGTGCTCACACCCAAAGTGCTTGCACATAAAGACTTGGCTATATTGGCTATTTAAAGCAGTATAATGGGTCGGTGCGTCATGTCTTAAAGCAACAGCAGCCTAATATACCGGCTGCCAAACAATGAGATAATATTAAAAATATCTATATGGCAGTTTTTCCCTATGATATCGATGTCAAAATTGTGGCCAGTGAAAATGCGGAGTGGCTAGTAACTTTGAAAAACCACTAGCCACAGTGGCTGGTGAGCAAAAAAGTTAATCGTTGAAAAGCGAAATCATTGATCAAGCTGTTTCGGACACTGTGACAAAAGAGCTGATTCTGCAATGTATATTGAGAAAATTAAACTGTTTTTTGACCTTGTGAACCTAGAAGACCTGCTAAACAAAATAAGGACCCTTTAAAATAGCATAATAGGGGCACTTTAAGATGGTACTGGATAAAAGTGACATTTACATATGAGAGCGTACTGGACAAAGAGTAGATTCCGGCACCCTCCCTAAAAGCTTTTTGAAACATAACCTGTTCTGCACTACAGCAACAACATGAATAAAACTGGAGTTAAAAAATATGAATTATGGATCCATCTTCAAATCATTAGAAATACTAGCCTGCTTTTCACCCTGTGATTAGACATTTCTACAGCGATGAGAAGGAGACATAAATCAAACTGTAGTCTAACTATGAAAAAGAAGACGACAGATGTATTGTAAGAAAGCAACACTTTGAAATAAAAACCGTGACCTGTTACTAGCCTTGTCACTGGCTCAGAAATGGTTTGCATGCTCTGGATGCCTGAGTTTTTCGAGCCCAGGGGGGGCTCTGCCGACTGAAAATGAGATCCCACCCCAGAGCCTCCCCTAGATATGGCAGGCCTGTACACAAGGGCAATTCCTCCACTGGCTCTGTTAGTCAATCAGGCTGAGAGACAGAGAGCGAGGGAGGGGGTGTGTGGGGGGCTGCCATTTTGGGCAGCAAGCCTTGGATGCTTTTCAGTGAATATAAAATATATATGATATTATATATAGATAAGTAATAGAGAATAAAACCATGAAAATGCCAAGATACTACTAGAAGCCATATAATAACATTCTCATCTTACTCACACATACACACACACACACAAATGAGATCAATTTTATATCTGTTATTTCTCCTAGACAGCAATGAGATCAAATGGAGAGCAAATGAAGTCTCCTGCTCTCTATATTTTGCTCCTGGAAAAAATAGATCTTAGTAATCTTGCATCTGTCTCCTCTAAGGTTTAAAATTCAGAATCAAAACTTAAAGTTCAATGTGATCTTAAACATGTATCACTGAATAAAAGATAAGATAAAATGATTTTAAAAATAAAAATAAACTAATATAAACTGATATTTTGAGCTGTGATTAGTAATGTAGATCTATATTACTCTTTGTCAATCATTTGTGTGTATTTTTATTTCTTCTGAGACATTTTACTCCATTCAAATATTACAGGACTCCTGAGCTATGAAAGATAAGCCAATGAGAAAACCCACATAAAATGTCCAACTTTTTAGCGTTTTCTCTACTGATTTGGAGAGAAAATATGTGGAATATTGTAAGACAACAAAACATGTACTAATTATTCGTAGATGAAAACATAATCAAACAAGCCAAAATTTTAATAAACAAAAAAACGATGGCTGGGGGATATATACAACATTTCTGCATGCACAGGTGTCATGTGGATCTGCGAATGGGCAATAAAATTTAAATCTGGGCGCAGACAAACTGGCCAAAATCATACAGGACTTGAAATTCCTAATTTATCCCTTAAAACCTTGCTCCCAGTGTGAGCAAAATTGAGTTGGATTGTATTCACTTTCTCTCTGTAGCATTAGATTACAATCAGCGACATAATGAGGGGTTCTGAAATGCAATTATTTTAAGTGGTATTGTAAAATTCTTTGTCCTGAGGGTTAATACTCCATGATATCGAATCATGGAAAGGAAAAGTAATGAACTGGCTCACAGACATGACTCTCCGCCCTCTGGTTTCTACCAACACACAGAATTGCAGATGCATAATGAAAGCACATAAACATGATGACGATGCGTTCACCTAAGGCCATCATTAATAATTCATGATTCATATTCAAGCCTTTAATGAAAACGCCCTTTTACATTTTCAGGTTTTTTTTTTTTGTCTCAGTAAATGTAACACTCCTCCAATTTGACCTTTTCACCTCTTCTAATGCAATTTCAAGACGTTAAAATCTGGATGTTTGTTAATAAATGTGGCAAACATTCTGCATCTGCATCTTGACAACCTGCCATTCCGCAATTATCAGATAATCTAATTAAAAAACTGTGAGGACAGCAAGCTGAAAACTATATGGGCTCGTTTTCATGGCTGAGGTTTGGGATTTTGCTGAGGCCACGATTTCTCCTTTATAGTCTAACCCCATTGTACCTTCAGCCTCAAAACCCTGCCAATCTTCCATGGGGAATCACACAAGAAGATCTCCGAAATGTCAGCCTGACAGAAGCACTTTTCACTGCCCTTCCCGCCACTGCAGCAGAGCCACTGGAGGACCGAAAAGGGTCACTAACTGTGCATGTGCGCAAAATGTGTGCGTATGCATGAACGCAGCTGTAAGCTTTAGATCGCGACACTAGGGTGGCAGATATGCATGAATGGCATCTAAATCATTGTGGTTTTATGTAAAAAAAAAATGCAAAGAGTGTTTGTGAACACTCTTTTTTTCTGCTGAGCTCCAGAAGTGAGCCCCAAGGCGAACCCTTTTGACCTTTCCAAAATGTTACTGCCCATTTGGCACAGCAGCCGCAGCTAATAAAACTTTCATAATCATGAATTTTTGATTCCAATCCCACTCCAGGCCTTGGGCTAACCTGGACCATGGTAGCCCGAGACCCTGAGAGGGATTGAGAGCTGCTGTGGCTTGAGGTTTCATCATTCTACCCTCTGTGTTTTTGACACGTTAACATTTGGAGCATTATAAGTGGGGCATGCATTTTATTTAATTTTTTTTAAATGAAAGTAATGTTTCTCTTCCTGCCTCTTCCCCCTAAAAAAAACCCAAATCACAATGAATTCTGGGAACTATAGCTGCAGCCCAGTAATTGCACTCATCTGTTTAGTTTTTTTCCACAGAAAAAAAGCATTCCTTGGTCTAAACATTGCATAGAAACTGTTGACCCCAGATCAATATTCTCATGGTCAACTTCGCAGGGGTGAAATAAGGAAATTCAGAAATATTCACAGAAAGTCATGGCGCTGGAGTAAAACACAGGATTTACATCTGCATGAGTCATCAGAGCAGAAGATTATGCAAGCTGCCCCCTGGTTCTTGTACTGCATTTCATAATGACCTCCCTACACACTAATGATGCTGACTTGCCATCGCCATTTATGGGGCCATATTCTTCTCTGTAACTAATCACAGTGATTTTTTTTTCTTTTTCGTTTCCCTGTGACCTTCTGATCGTGCATTTACATGATTGCATGCGCTCTTGTATGTGGGCACCTGTGTCTTTGCAACTATAAATAGGTATAGAGCAACTGCTCATATAGGACGACATTCCTGTTCAGACAGGAGAAAGAGGATAACAGGCAGTGACAGATCGGGTACATTGGGAAAAGACACTTACGGTTGGCAGAGTTTGATGAGGTCCTGGTCTGTGGTCCCTGGCGGAAGGCCCCGGATGTACAGGTTGGTTTTACTGAGCTGCTCCGCCGCACTGTGGCTGCTGCTATTGGTGCTGGGGCTGGGCGGAGCCATGGGAGGAGGGGGCGGGGCATATGACTGCTGCAAGACAGAGAAAGGCAGTAGTTGTTATTAAAAATTGATATGATTTATATGAGATTACTGTAATATGCACTTTTAAACAACAAGGTTGCATGATTTAAGAAGAAGATAATGAAAATCTATCTCTAATGGACATGTCTTGCCAATGTGTGCTTAAACACAAGCCGGTGAAGTTTAAGTTTGAGCAGTGTTGCCAACTCTCACACATTTGACACGAGACACAAGTTTTCAGGCTCTGTCTTGAGGAACCCAAGTATATTAAGACAAACCAAATAAAAAGACAATGTACAAGGGTACAATCCAATTTGTCTTGCATTTCAAGGGGATATATATATTTGTCATTTAATTTGAGACACTTACTTACCGTGTCATATGCCAGAGAGCTTTACTGTCTAATAAATAGATGTTTTCCCAAAGTTACAATAATGTGCATATTTCATATTTTAACAATTCGGCATGACAGCGTACAACTGAATCAAGTTAGGCCTATAATAACTTCAAAGTGCGCGTGCATGCCTGTCAACCAGACAGGGCGTAACTGAAAAATGTGAGCTTGACAGGGCGAACTTATTTCACTTAACTAAATAACGACCAAAGTAAGTATTGGCCATGTTATTCAGTGTGCTAACTTACAGCGTAAATATCATTTTCGCTTTAAGATTTTCCCAATTAATAGGCAAGAATAAACCTGGTTCCTGTTCAACAACAAAGCATTTGAATGCGACGAGCTCGTGATCTCGACTTCAGAAGTAGCCTATGTGTGAAGTTATGTAGCAAATTTCCAATTCCGATAGCAGCGCGTGAAGGGAAGGCAGCATAGTTTTATTGAACCGTTAAGGAAGTCTGACCTCGTGCTCTCAGCTGATTGGTCCAAAGAACGCGCAGTACATCTGCATTTCGACGATTCCAGTCTGGACTGGATGTACAGTTGGAATACGCCATATCGTCGTCAGCAAGCAAGGTACAGCAACACATGAGCACGTCATCTACTGAACTGATTGTACTATATATCCCTCACAGGTTGGTTTAATCCGCGTCCATTTTTAATGTGGCGTCTTTTGAACCGCACACAGCGAGCGTTATATTTTCTGACGGACACGTTAGTCAGATATAGAACCATCACTGTGACAGTTAGATTGTGTCATGAGAGCTATTATTTGTGTGTGTGCGTGCGCTTACCTAGTGATGTCTATGTAATGTACTGTGTGCGCGTCTGGCCCGCGCTTTCTCTGTGTTTGTGATAATCATTGGCTGTCAGTTGTGCTGTACACTGGCAAGTCTCCCCTGCCATTAATCTATTACCTGCACTTCCCCACAGCCTGCAATTTCCTCCAGACAGACAGACAGACAGACAGACAGACAGGCAGGCCTATCGCGGCTAGAATAGATTCTGCATTCATATAGTTCACACACACCCTTTGCCTCGAGCTACAGTTATGAATGAACCCATTGAAGTCTCAGGAATACAACACACAGACAGGGAACAGAAGACGACGTCAAAGTGCCATCAAAACATACATGTGCATATAGGGAATATATAAATCTCGTGTTCACTCTGAAAAGTAGAGGATTTTATATGAATATGAGAAGGTCAGTGCATTGCATGAACAATGACATTATGTACCAGCAGTGTTGTAACTAACTCAACTTTATGTTCAGTCGCGTGAGTCGTTCAAGTTTAAGTTTATAGTAAACAGTTAGTTGTTTATTTGCATGCATATGAAATATATACAATAAAAACAAGAAAGTATCCATATACTGTGCAGGGAGAGGCAGAAAACCCAAAAGGGCTTATTTAAAGCCTACACCTAAACAACAAAGAAAAAAAAATAATTATGAAATTAAAGAAAAAACCAAATTACAATAACAAATACATGAATGCATATGACTGTATCAAGTTAATTACAACATATCAAAACCCACAAAATAATGTAGCCTACTCCAGGAACAAGCCCTATGGGGAAAATATTTGTGAAAAAAAAAGCAATAAACAGATCCTTTATAGCCTACATCTTTTATAACATATTAAATACGGTTTTGTTTTAGTTTTTTTGCTAGATGGGAGGATATGACCTCTAGTCTACAAGTAAGAAATTTAGGAATCTGAAAATTGACGAGTTAAGTGACAGTGAACCTGTGAATTTACTTTAAAATACATAATTGCTTTGGAATGTTACCTTCTCTTGAATATATCTTATAAATGACAACACATATTTGAGAAATTACTAATATCAATAGTAAGAAGTGAACCAGAAGTTTCTGAAATAAAGTATGCGATTTCGGATGCAGCTATGGTTTGCGTTTGAAGGTTTGATTCATTGAATCGGTTCATCTTGAACAGTCCTTTCTTTTGTACTATGTAGTGATAGTAATTTTGATTCATTTTAAAGAAACTGTTTTTTTGGGACTGTCTACTAATCTTAAATTAAGAGATTCAAACAATGATTGCTCATTACTTTCTTTTTCGACTCAGTCATATATAAGTGTTGTATTCTATTGTTTATTGTATTTAGTTTTTAATTTTGATGTCACATTTATTGTGATTTATTATATGAATGTCATGATAGTCAGCACATATCATGGCAAAAGTAACTTAAAGCATTATTTTGCATAGAAATAATGCTGTAACTTATTTATTTTTTATAACATAACTTTTAAACCTAATGTTCCCCAACACTGATGCACACATAACTCTGCTTTACAAGCTGTGTCTTAGTGTGCCAGAGCCCTACATGAAATCTGGATATAATAAATACAGCCAATTCCCAGAAACTATACACACCATATGCGTGTCTGACATGGCTTCAGGCAGTCATGCACACACGCATGATCTGACTGCACAAAAAGCTTCCTGTGTGAGTGGAAGCTTATCAGACCCTCCCGGCCCGGTTCTCCTCGACAGATCAGGGGCCTGGCCTCCGCAACACGACGCCGGGATGGAGACAGACCGAGCGCAAGAGAGCAAAAGCTCGGCTGATCAAAGTGCGCGCCACAGACACCTCTTTCAGCCAATTTGTGCAGCTGTCAGGGGCACGGCGATAGCGCGTCAGGATGTGTAGTGTGTCAGGAGTCATGATGGGGGAAGCCTTTGAAACGTCAAAGGCGTTCACTTCGCCATCAGACGGGCCGGGATTAGAGGGAGAGGGAGAGATGATGTTGCTTCTACAATGGACTCCAGCAGGAATCACACACATACTCTAGGCGTCTCTATAGCCACACACACTAACAAATCCCATTCAGTCGTACATGCAGCTTTAGCGAAGGCACTTAACTTAACCGAGGACACCCTGGGAGACAAATTGCCTGATGATAGATGTGCTATTATGCTACACATATGTTGTCTGAAACCTATTAGCACTTTTAAAGGTTTCCATTTGTGATAAGTTGTCAGTTAACAATAGTTTGTCTTGAGGTTTTGCTTTGGTAAGAAGTGTTTGTACAGTATACATTGTCGTGGGTGGCATAGTGATATAAATGATATATGTAGTTTATATATATATAAATATATATTGCAAAAAAAACATATTCAGCCTTTTGACTATAGGGTCATTCCCTGTCAACTCAAGTGGTCATAGGCTCAGATTTTTAATTTTATCCTTATTTTTTCTGAAGAAAGACAGTGATGAAATAATATTTATTGACTAATCCACTATTTTGTAGAGGGGGGTTCAAAATAAAAAAATTTCACGTAAGATTTGGGGCCAAATTACAATTACAGGAGGATAAAAATGACTTTAGAAAGAAGGCTAGACCTTCTTAGGTCCCCCCGCATACCTGTAACTCAAGAAGTAGGCCTATTAACGATGTCTTAATATCCTTTAAGATTTTGTTTCTTAACAAACTTTTCTTTTGGTGTCTTTATTTTGAAATTCCAATATGGTTTAATTATAGGGATATTGGGATCTCAATATGGCTCCAGGAATAAATTGTACACATTTTTAATGGTAAAAAACTAAATGTGGATCACTTTGCATACAGCTGAGCTGCTACAAATAATGTTGGAAGTAGTAGAAGTGTTTCCCTATTTAAAATAATTGCATAGAACATTCCTGTCTGAGTGCCATAAATATTATTTTTCCCAAGTTGGCATGCCTGTAACTCTTGAAGATATCTCAATATAACTTTTCTTAATTTTTAAGCCCCTTATGGTTCAATCCAATCGATATTGGGATTCCAATGCTTCTCCATATCCAAATTGTCATAACTTACTTCAGAAAAAAATATGAACCAGGGAAGTTTCAGAAATTTGGTTGATTTGACACGGAATGACCCCATTTAATAATTGTATTTTTTTATTATTTTATACAAGCATGTAAAATTTTATGTGAGATGTACATTTTTAATCATTTAAACAATATTTTCTAAATGGACCGTTGGATCAAAGCCATTAAGAAACATAACAGCCCAAAAAAAAACATAATTAGCTATATTGCCTATAGCTGTAGTTACTGTATAATTGGTGGATGTTGTTTAGCTTTGGTGCCTATGCAGTCTGCATGAGTCTTAGTTCAGCTTGTGTCATTTGTTTAATTTCCCTCACATCATTTCTAGTCATCTCTATAATGTAGCTTTCAATCAAAGTGGCAAAAAGGCTAAAGCCTTCGAAGTGGAAACCAGTTATTGTCCGCTAATTAAACAATTCCTGGCTTTCTTCTCCTTGTCTTTTGCTCTCTCTTGTCCCTGTCTTCTACCACTCTAATGACAGTAATCTGTCCATTCAGCCCCCCTCTTCTTCCGCAGCCTGGCTTCTGTAAACGTCTCCTCCTCTCCCCCGCCCCACTCCTCTACTACGGATAAATCCCTCCCTCCCTCCCGCTTCTCCACCTTCCCTCCGTATCCCAGGGTTGGCCGGTGCGGAGCCGGGCTCTGCTCTTTATTAAAGGGTGAGTGATGTGCACACACATTATCTCCTCGCTGCACGCCCAGATAGCCTTCATTTCCCTAAAGAGTACTCCAGTCACCAAACAATTAGTACTTCCTGGAGAGCCCTCGAAAATGGG